AATATTTAGGTCCCCTAATTCTAAAGCACTAACTCAAATATTTAGGTCCTCTAATTCTAAAGCACTAATGCACTGAAAATTTTAGCAAAAGCTAATTCGAAAGCACTAACTCAAATATTTTGGTCCTCTAATTCATTAAATTGATTCATTTCATTTAAAAATACAAATCATAAATAAATGAAAGGCAGCAGAAGAAGACAAAATCTTATATCTGCCCCTTTTTTATCTGCCTTCTTTTTTCAATTCTAAAGCACTAACGCACTGAAAGTTTTAGCAAAAGCTAACTCTAAAGCACTAAAATAACCCAGTCAACACATGAACATTCTTCAACAGACAACATGAGTCACATGTTGCTCTCTTAAGACTTATCATTGACATTCCACACCTGGATTTGGGTTCATATATTGTTAATATATTGTCACCTGGTGCAGGGGTTCTCAAGCCATTTGAGTCTGGGGACCCCTTACAAGGGTGAAAAAATTCCAAGGACCCTCTAATAAACCATGTGCTGTTTTAAAAGATAATTTATTGTCATTTCAACCCCTAAATGCCATGGGAATATATGTTTTTATTTAGTTTATTATGTTTGTTTTATTAGTTCATTGTTCTCCATGCAATTTTAAAAATAACCAAAAGTAACAATTTAGTGAAATTTTTTGAGGACCCCCACGATACCTCTCACGGACCCCTGAGGGTACTGGGACCCCAGTTGGAGGACCTCTGACCTATTGGATCCGTGACACACAGATGAACAAAATGTTAACAGCTTTCACCCTCAGCTGTTAACATTAACGTTGGTCAATAATATAGTAATAATAATATAATCGTATTATATTATTATAATAATAGTATTATTAGTAATAATAGTATAATCAATAATATAGACCTCAGTTAGTGCTTCTAAATTTAGGCTATTAATTTAGCAAGTGCTAATCCACTAATAAATTTTAAAATTAGCAAAAGCCCTAAAGCACTAATCAGGAAATCAGTTCCCCTATTAGTGCTTTAGTGCTTTAGCGGAACTGTGCCCATCACTGAAAGTTAGCTTTGCTAACACAAAATTTACTTACTAATAATATAGGTTCACTAACTCTAAACTTCAAAACTAGTTAAAAAAATAGCAAGCTAAGGCTAAACAAGTAAAAATGAGCAAAAGCTAAGATGAGCGTCCATCAGTCTGCGTCACGTCTTCATCTCCTCCCAGCAGACTGCTGGGTCTGTTGATGTTAGTTTGTTAGCCGCTAGCCATCTTAAAGCTGGCAAAACCTAATTTAGCGGGAGCTAGTTAGTCCACGAATAATTTTCAAAATTAGTAAAAGAGGGAAAAAAGAAACTAAATTAAAACTTTAAATGAAATATTGGTTCCACCGTTAGACTTTAGCAGGATTAGCGGAAGCATGCCCAGCACTGGTAGCCTACTGTCAGTTTTTACAGATTTTGAGCTAAAATTTGGTGTGGTGTTGGCTGTCACGACAACACATTTTATTGGACGATAAATTGTCTCAGAAATTATTGCGATAAATGATAATATTGTTGGAGACTTGTTTAAACTAATATAATGATATAACAACCCATGTTTATGGAAGTTTACATTAAAATTCACATAATATAAAAAGAAAAATACAACTGTCTGCAATCCCAAGGCGTCTCCAGCTGTATGAAGGCATCAGAAAACTGAAGACGCTCCTCTGGCTACATGCCTGTTCACAGGCTCTCATGCTACAGAGGTTAGAGATAACACACCTGTCAAATACCTGACACCTGAGTTCACTCCTCTCTACGCTAAGAAGTAAAAAGGCAGGAGACAGAAAACAAATAAGCAGTCAAATGAAAATTATTGTCTTTATTTAATTCATCTTCCTCAATGTAATTTATCATCCAAATAATTGATTAATTGTTTATTGACAGGCCTATGTTGGATTAAACCTTGGGATAAACTAACCCTGTGTGTCTGTTAGCAAAATGTCTCATGAACCACCAGACCGATTTTAATGAAACTCTCTGTAGCTATTATACATCTACATCTGAATAACTTTTGGATTTAAGATTGACATCACAGCTAACCCAGGTTTTGCCAACTTTAAGTGCACTAACAGCTAACTGACAAACTAACATCAAGGCTTCAAGGAGACAAATACGTGTGACGCAGACTGATTGAAAGACGTCTTAGTGGTTTGTGATCAACGGTTAGCTTCTGATAATGTTGACTTGTTAAGTGTTAGCTTCTGGTAACTTTTTGTTTAGCAGTTTAATGTTGGCTTCAAAGTTTTTTTTACGTTAAGCGTTAGCAAAGCTGTATTTTTTTTTATTTAGCATATTACGAGTTAGCAAAGCTAACGTTTGGTTAGCTGTGCACACCACTGTCCAAGACATACTTCAGGTATTTGTTTAAAACTTTGGGATTAACTGTTGGAAGTCGACGCTGTTTGTTTGCTAAATGTTAAAGGACACATTGAACATATCTGAATGAAATTTTCGGAAGTGATCATCGGATGTAGGTTTACAACTGATTAACGTTTGGTGTTCAAGATGGCAGCGACAGCTCATTGTCATCTAACAGAAATGGCTTTGAAGCTATCTGACCAGGGTTATGACACTAACACTGCATTCCATTTACATCGTATTCCCGGAACTGGTAAATTATAGTGACGTCATTTCCCAACAAACCATATTACTGCATTCCAGTTAGCCGACAGGCACATGTATTGTTGCCACTAACCTAGCTACAACACTGCTACAATACAAACAATGACAAAAAGAGAGCTCAACTGCAAGTTATGCAAATTATCATTGATTTTAACACGTACAGTATTGCACAGAAAACACACTACTTGTGTGAGTGATTAAACATGCACAAAACAATTAAGAAAGATAATTAACAGTAAAAGTTACGGAGTTAACTTTCTTAAGCTGCGAGAAGCCACCATCTTGAAATTGAAACTAAGGGCAGTTTCATTTCTTCCACTACACCAGTGGAATATTAACACTGGAGGGGGCGTTCCAGTTTAAATCTACCAATGGGAACTGGGAAATTACCATTTCCCAGCACTACTGGAATGCAACATTAATCCGGGGACATTTCCAGCAATCCTCGTCAAAAACATTAGATTAAAACTTACTGAAACAAAATGAAAATTTACTATTTAAATAAGAAATTTGGTTTCAGGTGTCCTATAGAAGTTGGTCATTTTTGTATAATAAATTTATGATTGAAGTTGATCAGGGCATTTCCTGCACTCTGGTTTAATTTAACTGGTTGGTAAACATATTTTACTCACATAAATAAACACTTGACAGCTTTCTCGGTACAAATAAATGCACTGGGGGTGCAAGTGGGACCCATCCAAGATGGCGGCTGCACTGAGCGGTAGCTTCAGTTCATAGGGGGTCCACGTATAAGTCTGTGCCGTAACAGGTGTTGCGCAACAAGTTCACTGCCGTAACAAAAGTCTACAAGCAACATTTTCCCCCTCATCCATTAAAAGTTCAAATCAGGGACGTTTCCGGGGACACATTTAGCCGGGGACAAGTCATCCAAAACGGGGACTGTCCCCGGAAATTGGGGACGTCTGGTCACCCTGTTTGAAGCCGTTTATTTTTACAGATGTAGAGCTAAAATTTCAGCGTGCTAACAAATTGCATCATATCTTGCAGTGTCACAAGTGATTTTGCATAACAATAATTTTAAGATTCAACCAGAAGGCAAAACAAAATCAGAATTTTATTAAAGATAAAATGGTCCTGATTTAAAAACTTGACATGAAAGGCATTGGACAAGGATTTTAAGGGCTTTAATTTTTTTTTTTTTATTTGTCCACCAGCCACCATCATGACTGGACCTTCCCACTGCTTTCTCTCATTCAAACTGGAATGGGTTGAAGTTCATGGAAAAGCCATTAAAGTGCATAAAATTCTTGAAGTCTAGCTCTGTTTGGCCTAATTATGTGAAACGTAATTAGACAGCTGTGTTTCATCACTCTGTGCTGCTGCTGTCCTGACCTGACCTCCATCCTGCTTCACTGTCTGCAGCCTCGTTCAACCAAAGCTGGGCTTGTGACTCCAGCCTAGGTGGCTACTGTGAATATTTAACAGAGTTGTAACATTAAGTACAAATACTTTGTTACTGTACTTAAGTAGAATTTTTGGGCATCTGTGATTTACTTGAGTAATTATTTTTCAGCCTACTTTTTACTTCTACTTCTTAAGTACAACAAATATCACATACTTTAAGACTTTTACTCAAGTAATATTCCTAAAGGAGACTTTAACTTTTACCAAAGTCATGTTTTGGTAAGATACTTGTATTTTTCCTCATCACTTTGTAGTACTTCATACAACACTGATGTTTAAATGATTTGTGTTGTCATTATGCACCCATTTTTAATTTGACTACTTTTATATTTCTTCATATATTTAAGCCTGCAATAGATGGGCTCATTGTCACAATAATTTGTGGGATTATCAATGTAGATTTACAAAGATTCTGCAAACACTCACCTACAGTTAGCATTGTTTATTATAGAACTCGGGGAGTTTGCTCACTCACATGCTAGCAACTCATCATTTTGTTTATCTCATGTGTGATGTGTCTGCGTGGGCTTTCCCAAAACTCTCTTATTATTGGAGGACATCGTTTCTAAAGACCTCAAAGTAGGAAGTAGTTGGTTTCTGTCAGTGTTTTACAAGAACCCTCTGATCAAAGTGATGCATCATATGATGGCGTGTGGGCGTGTGATATTATCCACGTACATGTTTAGCAAACCTTTGCACATTTTACTAAATGAAAATGAAACATGTCTCAGCTATTAAGCTCACTCAGAATATCTGTTAACAAATCATTTTTTTAGAACCTGTGAATTTAATTGAACTTTCTTCCCTTCAGGTTTATGACCTCTGACCTCTGACTGTAGGACCAAAGAGGAGGGGACAGGAGACAGACACCCGTCGTCTCTTGGGTTTATGGACTGGAGGTAACACTCTTAATAATTTTAAAAAGCCTTTAAAAAGCCTACACATTACACCTGGAATACACCTGTTACTTTGAATTTTTGCTTGTTGTCCTCTTTATATTAAAGCCTATTGATGCACGATGGGACAAAGTTTGGCCCAAAGGCTTTAAAGTGACCCCAATTAGTTGTGACATTAGACTTTATTTAATAAGCATTTATTTTAACTGTAAAATAAAGGCTGTAAAATACTCTAGGCTGTTTAGTTTTTATCATTTTTAAACTAAAAGTTTAAATATATATTTTAACACGGACG